AAAAAGTGAAGCATGTAAGTGAGAAAAGACAATAACAAAAGAAAGAAAAGGAAAGATATGAGAGAGAGTAAAGGGGACATGTGGAAGGAAAAGAAAAGAAAGTACAAAGAGAAAAAGGAGAAGAAAAGGAGAGAGAGAAAAGGGTAGCATGTAAGTGAAAAGAGACCCAAACAGAAGAAAGACAAGGAAACATGAGAGAGGGGAAATGGAACATGTGGTAGGAAAAGAAAAGGAAGTACAAAGAGAAAAAAATAGAAGAAAAGGGAGAGATAAGCGAGTGGGAATATATGAATGAAAATATTGACCTAAGTCATAATCCTACTTTGTGAGTTATTCTGTTGTATATTTCCTGCCATTATTTGAGTGAATGATTGAACTTAGTTAATGATAGGATGTGAAATGATATTTTCATCTTTTTGACAGGGTCCTGTATTTGTTGTTGCATCTGGTGTTGTGGGTGAACACAAATTTTCGTTCAGATTTTGTCCTTACATGGCAATGGAAGTATTTAGTTTCAACTAACTTTGTCTGAAAAGAACAATTTTAATTGTATTATAGGAGATGACATATCAATATACAATTTAAAAAACATTGTCAGAATTGGTGTATTTATGTTTATCGATCTTAACATTATAAATGAAGAAAATAAACATTTTTGACATATGCTTTTTATTTTTAAAAATGTAGAGAAGCAATTCACACACAAGAAAAAGCAACTTACACAGATTATGTAGAAGTTACAATAAATGTCAAAAGTTGTTTAGAAATATTCAGGCTGGAGTTTTCTCTCAAAATGATACCATCTGGAATAGTTAAGGGTGATAGCAATAAAAGGAAGAGATTAGTGAAGAATAATCTCTATCTATAAAAGGCAGGATGTGTGTGTGTGTGTTTAACGAATTGCACCAAAATTTACATGCACATGCTCCAAATTAGCAGAAAGGCCAAGACTGACTTTGCATTTCCCAACTCCCATCGATAGTGGAAATAATTGATTTTTTCATGCTTCTACAGCAGTTTTCATGTAGTATGCGACAATTTTGAACTGGCCAGAGTGAGAGCCAATAGCTGCCACAAATAGACAGGAAGATTCTATTTGCCAGCGTGAGAGCCAACAGCTGACTGACATGAATGTTAACTAGCATGCTAGCATGCAAAAAAAATTGATAGCTGCATTCGTCACAATTGGGAAAAATTTAAATCTACATGGCACTTTACTCCAATTGGCTCATTCACGTTGATTCTGATTCTGCAGAACTGGGTTGGGTGTGAAAAAGTATTTGTTGCTTCTTTTTCATTTGGTTTTTCCGGTTACGAGTCCTTTTTTAAAGCTGTTCATTTTGTGTTCATTTTGTTTAGTTCTTTTTTCATAACAGATTAAATGTTTAGTATAGAGCTTAGAAAAAATTCGCAGTGTGACAAGTAAGGCAAGAAGTAAGGCATGTAGCAACATCAGCATGGCAAAGGGCACTCCTTTAAAGGCAAGGAAGGGCAAAAATATTTTAAGTCAAGTGATATGAGTCGTACAATTTTTTAATCAAGCACGGGCAACGCTATGAGGAAGGAGGGCATGGAGAATCTGATACTCATGGGTCGAATAGAGGGAAAGAGAGATAAAAGAAAGCAGCACATGATATACCTGATGAGCTTAAGCAAGTGGATGGCAGAACGTGGACTGAGGGAGGAATCAGAGTGAAGGAACTCCCTGAGAGCCTCAAAGGATAGATGAGAGAGCCATGATCACCTATGTCCTGAAATGACATGGCACATCAAAAGAAAAAAAATGAATGTTTATTTTCAGTAAAAGTGGTGGGATGAAACAGAATTTAGTTTGATTTGGTTTGTTTTGTTTTACAGCATATCAACCTCAATGGGTTATTTAATGCCGACAAAATTTTAATTGCTGGTAATAATTTTTCAAAAATGTAGTGCTGCTAATATATTTTTTCTAAATATGTATTGTTGGTAATATTTTTTTTTCCAAAAATGTATTGCTGGTAATATTTTTTCCTCAAAAATGTATTGTGGGTAATATTTTTTCTCATAAATGTATTGCTAGTAATATTTTTTCTTCAAAAATGTATTGCTGGTAATAATGTATTGCTGGTAATAATGTATTGCTGGTAATAATTATTTACAAAATTGTATTGCTGGTATTAAAACCTATTTTTACACTTTCATAGTTTTTTGACCCCAGTTTGGGGATTAACTATTTGCCCATAGCTGGGACCCTAACAGGTGCTACCATTCTGGGTCAGGGTGGACCTAAGAACCCCCACAATTAAGAGATGGTTCCACACTCCTCAAAACATCCTGATCAGAGGCCTTGCTGTTGGATGAAGTTTATCACCTTATCCAGGATGTGGGATGAAACAGGAATGAAAGAAAGACAAAAGTATTGGTTAGCAAGGGAGAATAATCCAAAAAAGCCAGAGAAAATAAGAAAAATATATAATAAAATAAAAATGAAGAAAAATTAAAAACAAAGGAAATGAAAAAAGAGGAAAGTAACGAAAAAGAATGAGAAAGAAGAGGGTGTTTTGTCTGAATTTCTGAGTTGAAGTGTTATTATTTACATTATTTATACTTCGACTCAGTGTTTGTTTTTTATTATCACAAGCAACAGTGTTAGTAGCAGACTCCAGTTAGTTTTAAGACTCCTAGTCTGATACACAGGATTGTCCCATGGGACACTAACTTAGTGGATTAAAGCATGAATTTGGTGATATAGTAATTGTGAGTGTATTATCAAGAAGTGCAGAATTAAACTCTGTAATGGGTGTAAGACAATGCTGCATCTTCTCACCAAATAAATGAAATCTAGAACAGTGGTGATATATCAGAAGATCTAAGCAATCTATTTTCATAGCACTGTTTAAGAAACTAAGCATAAACAAATGTGAACTCCAGCAGACAATCAGCCTAATGAGCCACCTAACAAAACTCATCATCCGAATGCTGATGAATAGAGCACACAGCAGAATCAGGCCAGAGATAGAACAAGAACAGTGCAGGTTCATCAAAGACACTGGAACAAGTAATGCAATAGTTATGCTCAAAATGTTATCAGAAAGAGTAATACAAATGCAGAAGAAGATGTACTTGTGTTTTATAGACTACACAAAGGTGTTCAACAAAGTATGCCATAAAATCTATTAGAGCTGCTCACTGACCTTGACATATTTGGTAAAGACATTAGAATAATCAAGAATCTATACTGGCAGTAAACCTCCTGCATGTGGATAGAAAATGAGTTCAGCAGATAAATAAAAAGAGATAGGTGTGTTAGACAAGGATGTGTTTTCTCAGTGAATTCATTCGACCTATACAGTGAGGTAATTCTGAGAGAATTCAAATTTATTATTGGAGGCCAGAATCTTAACAACATAAGATATACAGATGGCATAGTGTTGATAGCAGACATGGAAAGGAGTATAAGTACTCCTATATTGTAGTGAACAATGGATCATCTCCTCACATATGGACTTAAATTAACAGAAACAAAAGAGTGAACTGAACTGTTATGTAATATGGGTACTCCTATATGGCAGTGAATGGTGGACCATCTCCTCACAGAAAGAGAAGAAACAAAGAAAAGAGTACTGAACTTTTATGTAATATCAGTACTCCTATATGGCATGAATGATGGATCATCTCATCACAGATGGAGAAGAGACTTGAAGCAACAGAAACAAAGAAAAGAGTACTGAACTGTTATGCAATGTAAGTACTCCTATATGGCAGTGAATGTTAGACCATCTCATCACAGATGGAAAAGATACTTGAAGCAACAGAAACAAAAAAAGAGTACTGACTTGCTATGCAACATCAGTACTCCTATATGACAATGAATGTTCAATCATCTTATCACAGATAGAAAAAGATACTTGAAGCAATAGAAACAAAGAGTACTGAACAGTTATGTAATATTGGTACTCCTATATGGCAGTGAATGTTGGACAGTTTCATCCCATGTATTGAACATGAAGCATAGGAAAGCATTTCAAGAGTAATGAGTTCAATTCTTGATGGATGACCAGACATCGTTCCAGATGAATCGTATTACCTAATCTTATTCAGTCAGTTACGTACCATGCATGATACATGCTTAGGCAAGGCAGAGACAAGGCAGATTTTTTTCCTGCAGCAGGTCGCCATTTCTTTCTGCAGTAGACCAGTTGCCATCCAAGGCTATAGAACCCAGTCTGTCCTGCTATTTACTCATAGCTGGAGGGAGAAGACGAGGATTCCTACATTCCCCAAGGGTATTAGCACGTAAGTGAAGTAATGGATTTGATTGGAATTCAAACTTGGCTCTCCGATTCCTCAATCCGAGCTGCTATCCATTACTCTACCATGCCTCCTATGGATGTCTAAAATAGAAAAAATTTGTCTTGGTCTGAAGATACATTGAAATAGTGAAACAAAGTATTAAGAAACAGAAAAAAATTGTTAGAAACATAGAAAGAAATGCTGAATTGCTATGTAATATCAATACTTATATCTGGCAGTGAATGCTGGATAATTTTCTCATGTATAAGTGGAAACTTGAAACAACAGTAGAATGCTAAGCATACCATGGACTGAACATGTGAATCACAGGGAAGTTTAAAAAAAAATGTAAATGAAAAGGTCCCTTTATAGTTAGAATTGGAAAGAGATAGTTGAAATTTCTTGGTCATATAATGTGGTAAGAAGTCTTGGAGAATTTGACACACCCAGGATGTATCTGAAGGCAAGAGAGCCAGAGTGATACATTGAGTAGACCACTTCCAGGGCTTCTGTAAACAGATGGCAGAACAGGGATAGAAGAAAATAGTAAAGGGACAGACATTGCTTGGATCATATAAAGAGAAAATCTCTGAAGGGTTAAAATAAAAAAATAAATTTAGGAGTTATATTTGGAATATGAGGCATGACAACAGAATTGACAAACTGATAAAAGGGGGAAAACAAACCGACATTCTTTTAGCAGAAAAGTGAAAAGAATGTAGCGGCAAATGCATGTGTGCAAGATTTTTTTCCCTCCCCCAACCATACCACATATCTTTCATTCTCTGTTTTTTTTTTTTGTTCCCTACTGTCTTCCTTATTTTAAAAGCACTTACACTTGTAGAATTCTTTTCTATAAAAGCGAGACCTCAAAGAAAGAAAAGATGTGCAAATCAACACAAATATTTATAACCGGACATAGCAGAAGACAATTAGTGAGAAGAAGCAATTTTTACCAATGTTGCAACGATGAGTCATAACACTCCCCAGAAACCACCCAACCCGAACACCACCTTAACAATTGAGTGACTGACGTGCAGACCAGTTGATTAGCCAATAAGAGCTTCCCGTTTTTTTCTCTAAATGTACTTACTCCACACTCCGCCCACGTTTTTATCAAAGAAAGGTAAGGGACAGAATCAACTATTAAGGGAGTCTACAGAAATAGTGGTAATGTCTTTTTGGAAGAAGCGTAGGTATGGTGTGAGGATGATGAGCGGAAGGAAATATAGGAAGAATTTGTTTCTTAACTTCATAATGCGAGAGTTCCAATGATGGTGGGCTTGATTTTTGTTTGTCTATCTTTTGTCAGATTATCTATTACATCTTTTTAAATATTTTTTTGCTTTTTCCTTTAATCTTTATTCTTATCCCTTTCTCATTTTCTTTCTTCTTTCTTTCTGTAAAAAAAACCAGAGAAATGTTTAAGCTTGTAGTGATGCTTGATTCAATGAAATTTGACTAGTGCTCATAAATAAGGTTCTACCATTTCTCTTATAGTTGAGTAGTTTGAAGGGGGGACAACTATGTTTGCCTTTCATCCCACTCTCTTTCTTTCATTCTGCTTCATGCTTTTCCACTTTTTCATTCCTTTTCACCCTTTTCAAATATTACTTTCTCTGTGTTTTCCTTTTGTTATTTCATCTTCAATTTTTCTTTCTTATTCAATTCTTTTTTGCTGAATTTTTCCTAAAGTCAAATGACTATTTAGCTTCTTGTATCTTCCTCTGTTCTGTTTACTGTCATCCCTTCAACTCTCTTGTTTTATCTCTTTTTCTTTCTTTCTTTCTTTCTTTCTTTCTTTCTTTCTTTCCTTCTTTCTTTCTTTCTTTCTTTCTTTCTTTCTTTCTTTTCCTATTTCTCTTTCTATCTTCAAATTAGTCACTCTTTGTTCTTTTTCCCTTCTTTCCGTTTCTTTCTTTCTTTCTTTCTTTCTTTCTTTCTTTCTTTATTTCTTTCTTTCTTTCTCTCCCTGTTTCTCTTTCTATCTTTCACTTAGTTTAACTTTTCCATTCTTTCCCTTTCTTTCTTTCTTTCTTTTCCTATTTCTCTTTCTATCTTTAAATTAGTCACTCTTTTTTCTTTTTCCCTTCTTTCCGTTTCTTTCTTTCTTTCTTTCTTTCTCTTCCTGTTTCTCTTTCTATCTTTCACTTAGTTTCTCTTTTTCCATTCTTTCCCTTTCTCCTTTTTCTTTCTTTCTTTCTTTCTTTCTTTCTTTCTTTCTTTCTTTCTTTCTCTTTCACATTCTCTCTCGATATATATTTTCATTCCATTTTTCTTTCTATCTTATTCTCTCTTGTTTGTTCCCCCTCTCTGTATCTTTTCTCTTCCTCTCTATTTCATTCTTCTTTGTTGAATAGTTTGTTTTTTTTTTTTCTATCGCCATCTTTCCTTTATTGCTAATATTTTCTTTACATGATTTCTCAGACGATATTTTTCAAATAAGATTTTCACCCTCCCCAAGCTGGAATGCCTTAACAAACCATCTTCGGCTTTCTTTACGAATATACCCCAAGGCTAACTTATTCATAATCATTATTTTTTATTCATTCTTCTTATTTTTTTCTTCATTTTTCTTCTTGTTCATTTTCCTTAGTTTTTCTATTATTGTTTCATTCGTTCTTTAGATTACATTTTCTGCTGTTCATTTTAATAACTCTATCTCAGACTTTCTTATTTTAAAACTTGACCCTCATCTCTTCGAGAATGTTTACTCTTCTTTATTTCAGCTCTTCTTGTTTTACTTTCCAGTGATCCTTACTCTCCCCTATCCTTTTCCTGCTTTGAATCTCCTTACTCTCTTACAATTATTACCCTGCAATCAGCTAATCCTTCTCATGCTATGGACAAGGAGAAAAGAGAGAAAGTAAAATACGCATTGATAAGCAGAAAGATAAAGAAAGAGAAGTAAAGTGAAAAGAGAAAAAATATAAAAGATATAAAAAAGAAAGAGAAAACAGAAGAAAAGAAAGAAAGAAAGATACACATTGATAAAAAGTAAAATAGAGAAGGAAAAGTAAACAGAATGATGGGAGGAGGAAAAGGTAAGTTTAAACAGAAAAAAAGAGACTAAAGAGTTAGAATGAATTAAAAAATATAAAAGATATAAAAAAAAAAGAAAACAGAAGAAAAGAAAGAAAGAAAGATACACATTGATAAAAAGTAAAATAGAGAAGGAAAAGTAAACAGAATGATGGGAGGAGGAAAAAAGTTTAAACAGAAAAGAGACTAAAAGAGTTAGAATGAATTAAAAAATATAAAAGATATAAAAAAGAAAAGAAAAACAGGAAAAGAAAGAAACATTGATAAAAAAAAGTAAAATAGAGAAGGAAAAGTAAACAGAATGATGGGAGGAGGAAAAGGTATCAGTTTAAACAGAAAAAGAGAGACTAAAGAGTTAGAATGAATTAAAAAATATAAAAGATATAAAAAAGAAAGAGAAAACAGAAGAAAAGAAAGAAAGAAAGATACACATTGATAAAAAGTAAAATAGAGAAGGAAAAGTAAACAGAATGATGGGAGGAGGAAAAGGTATCAGTTTAAACAGAAAAAGAGAGACTAAAGAGTTAGAATGAATTAAAAAATATAAAAGATATAAAAAAGAAAAAGAAGAAAAAAAGAAAAAGAAAGATACACATTGATAAAAAAGTAAAATAGAGAAGGAAAAGTAAACAGAATGATGGGAGGAGGAAAAGGTAAGTTTAAACAGAAAAAGAAACTAAAGAGTTAGAATGAATTAAAAAATATAAAAGATATAAAAAAGAAAGAGAAAACAGAAGTAAAGAAAGAAAGAAAGATACACATTGATAAAAAGTAAAATAGAGAAGGAAAAGTAAACAAAATGATGGGAGGAGGAAAAGGTATCAGTTTAAACAGAAAAAGAGAGACTAAAAAGTTAGAATAAATTAAAAATAAAAATGAAAGAAGGAAACGCAGTGATTATGGTAACAAAGAAAACTCTAGAAATCAAAAAAATATAAAAGAAAAAAACAGGAAGAACAATCTTTTTGGAACTCTCACATCATGAATGTGAAAATGGTCGTACACATGTCCACTTTATTCTTTGTGGTTTTTCATTGATGCTTTTTGTAGACATCATTAAATTTTGTACTTTTAAATATTCTGACTTCTAGTATTTTTAATCTTTCAAATTCTCCTCCCCATTAGCATTATTATATCGGTTTATTGCTCTCCTCTTTACCATTACCCTCACAATATTTCAAACTTTGTACCCTCTAGTCTGTTTCAGGTTCTTGTTGATTCAATTAACCTTCAGGGAATTTCAAACTGAACATTTTATTTTATATATAGGGGTAGAGTGTTCTCAATCCACTCTCCATGTCTAAAGATATCTTACCTTGTTCTGATCTAGTTATTACTTGCTTATTTTTTTTCTATGTGCTGTGTCTCTTCATGGCTCTCCACAACGTTCTGTACTTTATAGACTTTAGTAAAGATTTTTTTTTTGCTATATCTTCTAATGCCTGTTCTGTCAACTATTTACACAAGTTTGTTAGGTACTGCTTTCCTGTCCCTCTTGCCTTCTATGTGGCGATTTTCTAAGTGGAGATTAGATGTGACATTAAGTCGAAAGTATGGGGTACCCAATGAGGATCAAAGTCACTACTCAGTTGTAACTGTTCTAGCAAAACAAGCTTGCTAACCATAAAACCACATCAAGGTGCCCAAGGTGATATTTTTTAAGCATTTCACCCCAAAGAAGGCATGAACACCACTAGTACATAAGGGGCTACAGAAAGTGTAAGTAAAGGAAAAGACAGGGTATAGGGGGTGTTGAAGAAAGGATAAAAAGAACAGAGGAGGATAAAAAGAAGAACTGGGATCAAAGCAACAGAAGATGTCAATTGACATTACATTTAAATTTTTGAAGATTATAGTTATCAGGGAGGCAATTAAGAGGAAGGGAATTCCACTGTCAGGAAGTGCAAAAGAAGAAGCTGTTGGAGTAGAAGAGGCAGTTATATTTAACTGTTTCAACAGTAAAAGGGTGGGGTCGAGATGCCAACCTAGTAGCACGCTTAAATTCATGAAGTTGGAGTACCAGTGAAAGTAGCTTGTCAGAGCAGATGCCATGAAAATATTTATAAAAAAGAGAGAAAAAAGCCACATTACATTGGCGAGAAAGTGACTGGAGTCAAGACCCCAGGTCAGGACTGATCACATTGCATATCTGTCTTTGGATTTTGTGGAGAGCCTTGAAATGAACAGTGAGGGCACCAGGCCATATATGGCAACCGTATTCAATACATGCACAAATAAGCATAGCTTAATTGTGACACATGGCTGAAATTATGGGTCAGCCAGTGAGGATCAAACTCACTACTCAGTTGCAGTTGTTTTAATGAGACAAGCTTGCTAACCATTACACTATGTCAAAGTGCCCAAAGTAATTTTCTAAGCATAGGTAGATGTGGCACAAGGTTAGAAGCATGGCGCACCTAGTGAGAATCCAACACACTACTTGGTCATAATTGATCTAAAAAGGCAAGCTTGGTAACCATTACACTATGTCAAAGTGCCCAAAGTAATTTTCTAAGCATAGGTAGATGTGGCACAAGGTTGGAAGTATGGAGCACCTAGTGAGAATCCAACACATTACTTGGTCATAATTGATCTAAAAAGGCAAGCTTGGTAAACATTACACCATGCTGAAGTGCTATCTCATGCTTTCAGTATGTCCTGTGAGTGTCAAATTTTTAAAGATCTCTTTTCTTATTATGTTCCCAAGAAATTTCAACTGTCTTTTTATGATTCTAACTATAAAGGACCTTTTCATTTCCATTTTCCTAAAACTTCCACATTACTCATATGTTCAGTCATCATGGTATTCTTAGAATTCTTCAGTAGAACCCCAATGTATTAGTCTTCTTTCTGTTTCCATTTTCTCTAAAACTTTTTCAGTCTAATATAGAACTACATTTTTTGTTGCCTCAAGCCTCTCCTCCATCTGTATGGAGATTTTCCAGCATTCACTTCCACAGAGGAGGACTGCTATTATATAGAAAATTAGCATTCTTTTATTTGTTTTAATAATATTTTTCTGTTCCTTAATACATTGCTTAGTTTTTGGAAGGTATATTATATCATAGTGCCTCTCAACTGAGTCCAAGTACATACTGCCTGGCCCAGGGATTGAACTAACAATTACTATGTCATAAAATTCATGAAACAGGACTTTAATCCACTAGGCAGTTGTCCTGTGTACATGGCCTCAGTGGAGATAGGATGAGCAATAACTGAGAAGTACTAAAAATAAGAATTAAACAAGATGTTCTTTAGTCTACCCTCATAAAAGTCTACCCCCCACAGATTAAACAAGGTTGGAATTCCCTGAAGGTTATCTGGATCAATATATATGAGGTGTTGGCAGCACATTGGTCAAAATGATGCGAGAGCAAAACAACAAAGATGAGGAGAATAGTCTGCATATAAATAGTGTGAATATAAAATCTATATTCTTAAGTTTTAATTACTTCAATAAGGAATTTGTATCATTCATTGAATTTGTTGTTTTATAATTTTGTATTGAATTTTATTGGAAAACAGACAATGGGTTAAACATGATTTTTTTAAAAATCCCGTTCACTTCAAAAATGGCAGTAAAACTACTAAGACACAAGGGGTTACTGCGTATGGAAGTATTAAAAAACAGAACCATTACTAAGGAGTGAGAACAAAAGAAGATTAATCAGGAAGATAGCAATTAATATTGCATTTAAAATTTTTGAAGATTAAGTTAATTGGAAAGCATGGAGCTGGAAGAGAGTCCCACAAATGAGAAATATGGGAAAAGAAACTGTTAGAATAGAAAATATGGTTACATCTTGCCAACTCAACTGTAAATGAGACTGAATATGAAACTTCAGTACCAGTCTAGTACCGCACTTAAATTCATAAAGTTTAGGTACCATAGCGAAGTGCTCATCTGAACATTTACCATGAAAATCTTTATAGAAAAGTCACAGGGAAGCAATATTACTGTAGTGGGAAAGAGACTGAAGTTGAGATGACAGATCAGGACCAATAAAATTGCTGATTATTCTTTGGGTTTTATCAAGGATCTCTAGATATCTGCCTTTAAAATCAGTGTCTTAAAGACTGGTTTTGTTTCTTGACTCTCAGGCTTGTAATAATAATAAATCAAGAGATAGATAAATAAATCTATAAATAAAAACACTATAAAGAATGAGATCAATTGTCAAAATAATTCTTGTAATGATAATGATTTATTTCAAAATTACGGAAAATATTTCCAAGGAACAAAATCTTTCTGAAATTAAAAAAAAAATGTGTTGATATTTTTCACTTCTGGGAATGTTTAAATGACAATATGGCATGGTATTTAGAAATTCAGAGAAGTGCTTCAAGCAGTGCCATTTGAATTAATCTTTTTTCGCCAATGTTTAGGTTATAGCTGGGGTCAACAACACAGGATCAGGAATTTGGGAAGGGGAAAAAATACCTATTTATGCATTCTAAGAAGAATGCACATATTAGTGGGTTCTGACAAGTTCTCATCCCAACCAAGAATCCATTTAAATAGAAAGAAACAATTCTTTCATTTGATCAGATTCAGGAAAGTGGGTCAGTTGGAGAATATTTCAGATTTTGTGATGTGTGTGGAATCGAGCAGAATTCATTCTGCTTTACTTTGCTTTGACTATTTTGTTTGGTGGAAGAAGAAATAGAAAAATTATTATTATTATTATTGATTTTCTATGGCTTATCAATCCTTTGCAGGCTATTTAAAGCCAGAAAATATTTTTGGATTGTAAGAATGTTTTTTTTTTGAGATAATGATTTTGTAATACAAGTCTTACTGATTAACCCATAGCTAGGGAAAAACAATGTTTATTCAAGGGTAATGGAACATTAGTTAATATAACAAACCAACTGAGATTAGAACTCAGCTCTCTGTTTAACAATCCAGAGTCATTATCCATTACACCACCCATACATCCAAGCAGTTACTCATCTAGGTACAGACCACGCTTGATGTTACTTAACTTTGGTGATGCAGGAATGTGATGTGGCCATAAGAAAGAAAAACAGTGACAGCTGCAGCAACAGAAATAACAACAATTGTTTGGTTGATGAATGCTGAATGTTGCCATATGAGGAAATAGCTCAGTATTTACATTAGTCGGACTATTGTCCTCATCTTTGTTGCCATATTTGTCACAACATTTCGGCCGTTGTACGCTCCGGCCTTCTTCAGGTGGTTGGACACATGGCACAGTGGATAAAGGCATTGGTTAGATCCAGTGACAGACCCAAAGAAGGTGAGTTCAATTCCTGGTTAAGGCAGTGGAGAACTTTCAGAGGGAAAAATTAGCAGGAGATAACTGATAACTGACATCCATCAAACATGGCACGTGGAATTAGAAACAGTCTACCCCAGCGATCGAAATAAAGGGTTCAGTTCGAAATTCCAACCACCTGAAGAAGGCCGGAGCGCATACAACGGCGAAACGTTGTGACAAATATGGCGACAAAGATGAGGACAATAGTCCGACTAATGTAAATACTGTACATAATACCTCATCTCAGAACTATAGACAAACTCTGAGGAAATAGCTAATATTACCATTACTAATGGAGATTTGGAGAACAGATACTACACTTTGATCTCTGCCGGTTAGCCAAGTAGTAAAGAAAAGCTTAACTTGAGGAGCACTAGTTGCTAGTTCAGCGAATGCCAAATATTCCCTTATAAAGAAATTGCTAATGATTACCATTTGGGATAGAGAGCGACAGAGTTATATAAAGCAAGCCCTGAGCTT